AAACATAAGCGTTTCTTTTAAGATTCGCACATATGTAAGATAATAACACAAATTCTTTCATAATGTCTTTGTTTTCTGAAACTGCAGGTTTCTGACACTTGTTTATACAAATTTTGATTACACCAGTCCACTTTCTCTTCATGATTATTTAAAAAGTCTTCCCTGAATTCTTGATGCTTCATTATTTCATCCCAATCTACTACATCTTTCAATTCTTGAACAGTATTTTCTTGTTAATTTTTTATATCTGGAAACAAATTTCGTATTTAATTTTCGGGCTCACCAGCGGCCGAGCGGCAAAGTCGCTGAACACTGGTAGCTCGGTCCGAGGTTCGAATCCCGCGAACGGGCTGGCTGCATGGGCGTTTCGTGGTTTTCTCCATGTGTTAACGTGTAATCGAGTCAGTTCCCTTAGAAAGTCCTCCACGAAGCACCCTTTCCTTAGCATACCAGTGTGCTTTGCCATAATTAAATAAACCAACCGTGATTACTTTCTAAAATAAAAATTTAATTAAAATTTGATTTTGACATTGTATAACCATTTATTTTATCCTTGTTATCAAATGAATTTTTCGATGATGCTTAATATCCAGATAAAGATCCCAATTAATGAGATTTTTGTACATATCGGTCAGATAACTTCTGGTAAGCTGAAATGTATTTGTAAAAAAAAAAAAAAAAAAAAAAAAGAACCTCTTTATTCTCTGATGAAAGGTTCAGATAATTTTTTATATCTAGAAATCAAATCTCAATGAACAGTTTTTCCAGAATTTCTAATTAAATCTTCAGATAAAATAGTGTTTCTAGAAACCTCGCCCCAGTTAACTCCCATTTATTTAGGATTACATTTCTTCGCTATAATTCAGGCTTCCAGTCTATTACTTCAGATAAGGATGAATAGTAAGATATTTCTTTGTTCGAACCTTTAACACATAACCTTGCTTAACATGTATAAAAAATGACGTATCTTTAGAAATAATTGAAATCAAAAATATTTTCGTCAATTTCAATACGAGCTTCGACAAATTGATTCTTTTCAGTTATTTTATCTATTAAAAATAATATGATTCTAACATCCCCCTTCTACTAAAAATTTAAAATCTTTATCCAATATTTCATATTTTGTAATTTTCGAAAACTTAATATTAGTTCATTCTTTATCACGTTGAAGTATTATAAAACCAAACGAATTAATAACGTATAAAGGAGTTTTAATCAAATCATAAACAAATTTTTTGCTTGCAAAATGTTAATCTTTTATCGGATTTCCAACATTTTCTATTTGCAATTTAGTTACTTTCGACTATTACATTACAACAAAAAACCTCCAAGATAAGGAAAAATTTGTGGAGTTAGCTGGTTGTACATAAATCTAACAAAATTAAATAATTTTGGTTTAGAGAATTTTATTTCGTTTTGCTATATTTCTATTTTAATTCTGAAGTCTAATGCAAATTTAACCTTTCACATGGAGTAATTAAAATATTATATAGTATATGAATATATGCAGTGTGCACCCTAGAGCCATCATGCTATCTTTATTTTTGAAACCGTTAGTCATACACATAAATACTTTTAGTTATAAAAATGTTTTAAATGATGCAAAGATTCATATTTTCCTATTTTAAAATTTAGATTAGGTTTAAATTAGGTTTAAAGAAATTCATTTCATATAAAATTACAAATTTAACATTTTACACGTTTCTTCAATGCCTATACTTATTATTTAAGAAAACAGTATACTCATTAGGAAAAATAAAACAATAAATTTCCCTTCGGAACAACAAAAATAATGAAAGATATTTATTTTTGTTGATATTTGTTTTTTATATTCACTTCAAAATTTGTCATACTTGACATTTTCAGTTTGCATTGAGCTGCCAGTTAATAAATAAATTAAGAATAATTTGGTATGATTCTTTTTCTTAAATGTCATTCAGTGATATTCTTTTGTGATTTACTAGTCTGTAGTTTAGTTTTGTTGCCTGGTATGCTGAAACAATTTTCACACAAGTATTGGGTTACCACTAAATTTCTGCAGTTTTCAAATTATATATGCGTTTTCTTCTAATTATTTTGTTACTGCTGATACAGAGTGACTGACAGGTGTTTAAATATAGTCTATTCTGCTCATGTTGCATAATTTTTGCATGATGTGGCATAATTTTTGTTTCAATTTATTTGTAAGAATGGAGAAGCCAAATTTAATTTTTGTTATATTATGCTCTTTTACTTTGGAAAAGGGAAAAAAATTCTAGTCTGGCTGCTGATAAAATTTCTTCTACATATCGAAAAATCCTGCTCCTTCTGACACATTTCAAATGCGATTTGAGATGTTAACACATGAAAATTTCAGCCTTGAAAATGATGTCTGCTCTGGACGATCATCCTCTGTAAACAAGGATCTATTAAAAGAAGCTATCATTTAAAATCCAAGTTGTACAGTTCAGGAACAGAACAAATATTCTTAACAGATCATTGGAAGAAGATTGGGTACGTCAGCTGCTACAATGTTTGGATACCCCATTTTTTTAACAGAGCAGAATATGCTTTCTCGAGTTTCGACATGTGATTCTATGCTGAAAGAAATAAAGATGTTCCTTTTTTGAAACAGGTCATCACTGAAGATGAGAAGTGGATATTACACAGTAAATGTTACAAGAAAAAGATTATTCAGTAAGCCAAAAGAATATGCTTTATTCTCATCGAGAAGGGGCTGCATCTAAAAAAAGTAATACCTTGTGTGTGATATGAATGTCGACACCGAATCAGATGATAAATTCGGAAAATGCTTTTCCCAAATGGCAGTTTTAGAAGAAGAAATCAAAGCAAATGACGAATCCTCAAATTGTTATCTTCCATCATGACAATGCTCAGTCGTGCCTTTTGATGAGTGTCAAACTTGTTGAGTATTGGTGGGATATTTGTTTCAACTCCCATATTCACGAGATCTCCCTCTGATTTTCATCTCTTCGGGTGACTTCTCTAAATCGCTTGGAGCTCATTTCTTTATTTTCAGACTGTCAAATAGCATGTTTCTAACGAAGAAAACCTAATGGCTTTTTTAAGCTAAACCTGCTGAGTTTCCCTATTGCTTCATGTGTATTTATTATCGAAAAACCTCAGAACGTTATGGATGACCCAATAGTTTGTTTTCAGAGTCTAAAAGGACATTATTAATATTCTCATGCAGCTTTATTACTGTAGAATAAAATTCATTAAAGTACAGGTACTTTTCATTTTTAATTAAGCAAATGTTACAAGTAGGCTACATGCCAAAATGGAAGCCTCCCAGTGTTTTCTAGAGCATAAATTCTATAAAATACTATGAATAAGGCTTTTTGAAAAAAATATATTGATCAGTTCTTTTCATAAAAATCTGCACATTAATACTCAGCACGTGATCTCCTAACACCAGAGATGTTTTCTAAAGAATATTTTTAATTATGTACAAATGCAAACATTTTGATTTTCAATTTCTGTTCAATATGATTCCCGATTTTAATATCGACTCAGTCCATTTTTGTCACATCGAAGCCGAACTTCTTTACATAATCAGTACAAACTTTCGAAACTTAAGCCTTTCTAAACTCACTTCTTAAGGCTGGAACAATGTGTAAAAAGTTTTTTTTTTTTTTTTTTTTTTTTTTTTTTACATTTGAAAATATGAAAACAGGAATCTATGGATCATATAAAACATTTTTGTAATTTAAAGTATACATCTATGTTGAATGGCTGCTAAAATAGAGGGCGGGTAAGGACGTTTGCAAACACTGTTTATATGTGCATTGTCTTTAACGTTTACATTTGTGTGTCTTAAATTTGTGTGCCTTTTCAATTTGGTTCTTCGGAAGTAGGAAAAAAGGAGCTGCATGCTGCCGTAAGTTTATAGAAGAAATGACTGATCTGGATGTTTTCAATATACTCAAAAAACTTCCTGGAGATTTTATGTCTGAAGAAACAGACCAGAAGCGTGGAATAGGACCTTATCGTAAGTTTATGGAAGAAATGAATGAACCGAGTGTTTTCATCACGGAGTGTTCAAGAATCTAATCGTAGGTTTATGGTAGAAATGACTAAACTCGGTGTTTTCAATATATCCAAAGAACTTCCTGAAGATTTCATGTTTGAAGAAACAGATCAGAAGTATGAAAAAGGACCTAATCGTGGGTTTATGAAGAATGACTGAACTGGGTGTTTTTCATAATACCCAAAGAACTTCCTGAAGAATTTAAGTCTGAAAAAACAGCTTGAGCATATTTAGGCTCATTAAAGATATTATTTTGTACTTATGATATATTGAACTTTTAAATGATTCTTTGTATCATGCAACTAGCATTTCAGAATATTATGCCATTCAGCTTATGATTTAATTTTAATTGTCTATGCCGGTGTCCATAATTGTCCATGCCAGCCCATATTATAATAACGAATGAGTTTAGAGAATTAAGATTTTCAAAACAGAAAACATGAAAAGCCAGTTATGCCCTCGCGAAGACCTGAACTGCAGATTTTCTATTTGCTAGTCAGATGCTAATCACTACACTGCAAGGGCATGCATGTGACACATGATGCATAATTCATTAAATTTCTTCTCTGCTACTTAAAGGCTGAGTGGGAAAATGCACTACTACCTAATCACACAAGTCTACGTAGTTAACATCCACCACATTTCAGTTCCAACGGCATTGTTCAGAGCAGAAAACATTAAAAATCAGGTGTACTAATTACCAGGAACTTTCAATAGCTAGTTCGATCTGCCAGCTACATTATGACAAGAATACCCATGGAAAGAATGTCATAATTCTTGCAAAAACAATATTTTTGTCAGAAAGAATAGATCTGAGCTGGAATAATGCAAATGTTAAATATTGTGTGTTACATCTAGGGTTAGGTTTCTTGGATGTATAACTTATTCAAACAAGCATTTGTTGCAATTTAAGAATAAAAAGTCATATTTAAGTAAAAACACACATAAGTAATAATTCCGCACGATATTAAGTTATAAAACTTTATTTACAAATATAACTAATTAAAAACAAAGAACTGTTATACATATAGTATCAGTTTTATATATATATATATTAATATATACTTTATATACAGATATATTGCCCAAGTAAAACCTGATTAATAAGTCTGTTTTCAAAAATGTATAACATGCTGTAAAATAGAGAATCAGTTGAAATTCAAATCAGTTATTTGAATTTTTCTCTGGTAATGATACTGCTATTTTATAGATGAGTTCCTTTTTATTTATCCAGCTGTAAGTATTATCAAATACTATTTCATCTGGAAAAGAAAGAAAAAGTTAGTGTGTATAAATTTCTTGCATTCGAAATCTACATAGCTATGCTAATGAAAAGTGCGTTAAGAAAGAAATGAAAAGCATAATTACATTTTGCAAATGAAATTGATCCTGATGATATTTTTGATAGTCCAGAGTGATTTTTTTTCACGTAAATATGATACAAGTGATAATAAGCTATCTTGAATTGCGATTTTGTAACTAAAGAAGAGTTTAATTTTATTGTGGTAAAGATGAACGGTACACATGATTGCAAACACTTAGCCGCAAGTCAGTTACAGAAGAATTTACGGTATACAGTTCAATCATCTTTAATAGCATATCATACAGCTTCCCGCTGTGATATATGCTGCAGTTCTGTCGGACTATCAGACATCTGATGCCAGACAGATAATCTTATCAGACATTGGATGTTTTCCTGTTATGTGCAGCGAAAATTATCCCACTGGAATTTTGCACACGGAATCCTACCTGGAATGAGAGCATATGAGATGATGTGATGTGATGTGAGGGGCGCGGCCCGACCCTCCTGACAGACCTTACGTCACCCTATGGTCTTTTTATGGACTGCGGCAAAGCAAGTCAGAAACAACAGAAGCCAATAGTTCCAAGGAAAAAAATTAGAAAAACATAACAAAAGAGAAATCATAAAATATAACAGCAGCCAATACCGCCCCCAAAAAATAGTAAAGCATAACAAAAGATAAATCATAAAATTCAACCAGAAGACACTGATAAAAGAATTCTGGGGAGAAAAGAGCTTTAAAAACTAAATTAAAATAAAAAAACTAACTCAAACACGCTCCCACATGCAAACTAACATATTATGCCTATTTTCAATCTTGACCTATCCTAACCATAATTTTCTGTGCAATTCATTTCACTGCTACACTATTGTAATTTAATGTTTTAAAGTCCTTGTCTGCTTCTTCTATATCTCTAATGATAGTTATCCCTAGCACTCTTCAACAAAATGACGAGCATCTCCAATCACATTGCATAACTTGCATTTATCATTATCTTGAAGCCCAAACCTATTAAAATAATAGGGAAATCTTACATGCCCACTTATAATTTGACAAATATGAATGCTTGAGAAAGGTTTTATATTTCTCTTAATTTAAAAACTATGCAGAAAATCTGTTCGCTTTGTAGAGTCCTGCCATAGCATAGTTCATAGCATAGAAAATGCAACTAGTGAGTTGTAATGTATAGAGTTTGAAATAATTAATCAAAAATACAGTTTAGTAAAATGCAGTAATGGTACATGAAAGTATAAGAAATTTGCTAACAAACCATAATGAGTCAGAATATACCCTCAGACGACTCAGGCTCGTGGTGGCGTTGTTAAAGCCATGCATATTTCCAGCACACGTACATTTAAAACGCTTTGCCACACACATGACCCTGCACACGCATGTTGTGAGCAGTTATCGAAATCTTGAAAATATCTGTGGCTTTTCTCTTCTGAATATTACCGTTGTCGATTTTACACTAGTAATTCATGAACTGACGACATATCCTCCAGATGCCAGTAAATATTTTTAGTGCATGAAATCTGCTCGATTTTTTACTCGCTTCACCACTGAGCTATATCGGGTACACCACCCTAGTCTAATAGGTCATAACACGTGTTCGTTAAACTAGAAGAGAAGCAATTCACTTGCCTAAGTAAATCATTCATTATCTTCACAACATAACTTTTATATTTAACAAAAACAAGTTGCAAGAATGCATGCGTCAGCACACGAACACGGACCGAAACCACACTACTAACTGATATACAGGTACAGATAAAGTTGGTTACGTACAGTTTCTTTACAGGTTTAGGTGTATGAAATAGTGCAATTAATTAAACAGTTAGAAATTAAATACAAGAGTTCAGAAGTCCATTTACAGTTAATCCGCCACAAATTTAATAAACGACGGTTTTTCTGTTGATCAGCATATAATTGTTTTTGTTCTTGGAAATTTAAATGTTATAAGCGTAAATATTTTTTATACTCGGAAAAATACGTATTGAATTATCATAAAAATAGTTTTGATTTATCAGTGGCCAAGTTTTAGCCAAGGAAAGACTTAAGCCAAGAAGAAGGAAGTTTTCAAGTTAATAAAAATATTGAACCTAATTTTATAAAGGTTAAATAAAATGTCTACAGATTATTTAATATTAAAAATGATTTAAACAATATATGCTACTTCTCGGTGCAAGAATAAGTAATTAAGCAAATACCCGTTGAAATTTGAAAGTGATTTTCTCATAAAAGGAGTAAATGATTGTCGCAGAAAAGTGAAGTAGAGAATAAACTAACCAAGGAGTGGGAAAGAAGGAATTAAAAGTATTATTTATGACAGAACAGCCACCAGTTATATCGAAACGTTTTCGAAGAGTTAGAAGAAACAGAATCAAAATTTGAGGAAATAGATGAAATATCAAGTTTTCAGCCTAAAATGATTAATAAAAACAATTCTGTCCTATTTTTACCTGTTGATTAATATAAAGTATGGGTTTCAAAATGTTTGTTATAGCTGTCCTTCTTTTGAAAAAAAAAAAATGGAATTAATTTTCAAATACCATCTTTACTCGAGTATTTTCCCCCTTAGATGTTTAACACAAGGTTCTGAAATTTCTTCCAAGTATTCACATAATTTTCCTCTTCTTCAAGACGTTGAGAAAGCAAGCTTCTCTAAATTTCAAGATGGATTCGTCCACGTAGTGATTGTTTTTGTTTTCGTGGATTTGGGATGCTTGGTCTCCGACTGATGAAGCAATATGAAGAACTTCAAGGAACCAGGGATATCTGTTACTCATGAGGATGCTGAAATCACTGTATGTTAAACAGATGAACGCTGGAAAAGCTGTAGGAGACGACACAGACAAGTAATGTTAAATTATTTGAAGTCTAAGGAGTAGCAATGAACAACAGTAAGAGCGGCTGAGATTGGAGTTACAGGAATTAGAATTGAAGAAAACTTACTAGATATTGGTAACATTAATACTATGCATTCTTGTTGAAATGTAGGTTTCTTTTAAAGAATATTGTGATAGTTATTGGGACTTAAGCCATGAATATTTTTCATTACGTTTTTTACTATAACCTCATCTTTCGGAAATTGAATTATTCGGAAAATTTCCTATCTCCATCTTCCTACGATAAAATAAGTAAAAACAGATTGGAAAATACTCGAGTAAATACGATATTCTTCTTGAAAAATTAGGTGAAGTTATCACAGTCCAACAAATAAATGTACATTAATATACTTACATATTCCTGCATTTTGACAGGAAAAGCTTCCAGATTCTGGAATTCTGTGGCTCTCTACTCTGTGGAGAGGGATAATTTCTTCAAATTCGGAAGCCTTGTCTGGCTTATAGTTCAATCCTAATCGTATATCATATTGCGTTGTTTGAAAATCCCACTTCAAAATAGAATTAGGCTCGGTAATTAAATGTTCTATTCTAAAAGCTGATCTGTTTTCAACAATGGTTTTCTTTGCTGACTTATCTTCCTTAAGAACATGAAACTGATTTGTGAGCATCATATTTTCAGGAATTGTTGCACCCATTGGCTTCTCGTACTGAAAATAAATAAAAAATTTTGATATTATTCGGAAAAATTCTGGTAAGAATTACTTATTAATCACTTAATAGAATTGCGGAATGCATAGCATAACTTTTAAGAAATTAAGAAAATAATTTAAAAGAAATAAAATATTTTTTACACCCTAATTCTTCTACCCAATTTTTGTACAAAAATATTCAAATTTCTACACAAAATTGTAGGCACACAAATTTATTTTTAAGATCACATTTTTGTAACTGAATAATTAAGTTTAAATACAAATATCCAATTTTTAGAATTCACTGATAAATGCAATCACGAGTTATATTTTTACCTGCGACAGAAAATAATATACTAAAATTTGGGGAGGATTTCTGAATCATATTCAAAATTTGTGCTGCAGATTCTCCTGAAATTCTATTTTTAGTAAAAGTCGTCTACGTTCACTGCGCAAAAAAAGAGGGGGGGGACAGTTCTAAGTCTTCTGTTGTCATAATATCTCCGGTTCTACTGGGCCGATTGACGAAATTCAACTTGCTTTTTTCATGTCTCGAAAGCGAGACTTAGGACATGTATTCGATTGTTCTAATACAGGTATTTTGACAAAAAATCAGACTTTTTCTGAAATGACATCTGACCAATCTTTTTCCCATATTTTGATTCTACGATTCAAATTATGCCAAAGAGCCAAATTTTGTAAAAATCGCGAGAGTAGTTTTTAAAAAATTAGCTCGCAAAATTTAGCTCCTCAATGTTAATTGAATTTGATACATATTTATGAATATTTTTTTAACTTGCTTCATTTCTTCTTCCAAAATTCGAAATTCAGGCTTAATCCAAATATAATTCGCACATTTTTTACTATTTATTTTTTAAATTTGTATTTTTAAGTATTTTTTATAAATTTTTCGAAAGAATTTTTGTATTATAACTTATAATAAAATTTTTAACAGCATCTTAAATTAGATGTATTTCTAGACACACTTGCAAAAAAAATTAGAGTTTCCTTATTCAAAATTTTCTAAGATATACATGAATTTTGAAATTTGTCATTTTTTTAAAGCGATAATAATGCTAAAGGTGGTTTACGCACTTTGTTAAAATTATTTGAAAGTATGAACGATGACTTTTTCCCTCTCGCCTGCAATGAAAAAAAGGAAAATAGGTTACTATAAATTAAGAAGTTCGCCAAGTGAATTATTCTTGGCGAAAACTGAAAAATGCGCCAAGATAAATTTTTTAATTTCTCCATAAACTTCGCATTAAATTTTACAAAAATTATTACTTAATCATAATTTGAGTAGTAGAATCGAAGTATGGAAAACAACTGGCATATCATATCAGAAAAAGTCCGATTTTTTGTCAAAATACCTACATAAGAGCAATGCTATATATAAATATAATATATATCTCAAGTCGAGCTTTCTAGACATGAAAAACGCAATTTGAATTTCGTCAATCGGCCCAGTAGAAAGGGAGATATGGAACTGAAGTGAATTATTCTTGGCGAAAACTGAAAAATGCGCCAAGATAAATTTTTTAATTTCTCCATAAACTTCGCATTAAATTTTACAAAAATTATTACTTAATCATAATTTGAGTAGTAGAATCGAAGTATGGAAAACAACTGGCATATCATATCAGAAAAAGTCCGATTTTTTGTCAAAATACCTACATAAGAGCAATGCTATATATAAATATAATATACATCTCAAGTCGAGCTTTCTAGACATGAAAAACGCAATTTGAATTTCGTCAATCGGCCCAGTAGAAAGGGAGATATGGAACTGATTTTTAAATTTTTTTTTTTTACTTTCCTTACCAACAGTTTCGTTAGAACACAGTCCGACTTTTAAAGCAACGCCTCGGTAAAGTTGGATTGATCCTTTAACGAAACTACAGTCAACGAGAATTTTCCATTTTTTTTTATATGTTTGTGCTAATGTTTGCGTCGAATTCCCTCATATGTATACAATACAAAGAGAAAAATGATATAAGCTAATAATGTAACAAAGAAAATATAGCATTTCCCTAGAAAATTAGTTTATATTATGTATTGAATTACTAAAAGCTAGCATGGTTGCGTAGGGGGAATTTAACTATTGAACGCATTTTTTTTTCTAAATTTTGTAGCAAAAACGATCACAAAAAGGTTATCGTAGAACTAAGAAAGGAATTAAAATATGCCAATTAAAACAAAGGGAGAATTAGAATGTGCTAGGAATATCTGCATTAGCAGTACTGCCTTCTGGAAGGTAATTAGCTCGTATTCACTTTACACATATGCTTGATCTGGTTTATTTTGATTCCGACAAAATACGCAACGCCTATCCTTGTAAGGGGAGGAATGGTTTCGTGGAGGCCATTCTAGAGAAAACTAGCTCCTAGTCACATTACAACTCTGGAAAATCGCACTACTGCCATGTAGCTCCCGCTCACCGAGATTTGTTAAAATTAGATCAAGAACTTCTAAAACATTAAAGTATAAATTCATAAATTGAGCACACTTTGGATGCTCTTCCAATACTTTCTATAGCCCATCAACGGCCGAATAGATATAACAGCTATACATGGTAATTCGACCCAAATCGGAATACCAGCGAACGGGCTAGGTGCAAGCGCATTTTCAAGGTTTTTCTTATTGAAAGGGAGTTATCTAAAAGCCTGTTCACACCGATACTAGCAGAGCTGTATGTGTGATTATATATATAACACTATTTTTACTCTGAAGGTATCATGATTTCAACAATTTTATGCTCTCTTATTACATAAATGAGTGAACATATTTAATAACAATGTCAAAAATCTGCAGAATTTATACCTACATTTTGCACCTGTAGTACCTCAAACTTTGTATACATTTTCCTGATTACTATTTTATAAAATGAAGTAAAAACATAGATACTATTTCACCATTCAGCTAAAATGAGGTTAATGTATATACTTTACCAGCGAGGGACATTCAGGATTTCCATCTGGGTCTACTTTTGTACCTCCAAGGCATGCTGGTAAGATAGATGGATCAATTTTCTTTGTTAGCGCTGCTGGTACTTCACCTGAAAAAAAATTATCTGTTTTTCATTGCAGTATGAGATTAATATAACTCGTTATGAAATTACTGACAATTTATAAACAGCATAAATATTTGACTAGTGATTATGAATGACAAGCTGATGCCATAAAAATAGAAAGTGATTTAAATAGAATAACACTTTGTTCCTTTCTGTGAACGGAGTAGAAAACTAATTATAGAAAATACAAAATTATTTAAAAGAACTGAATAAATTACAAGCAAATAAAATGTATAGCACTTCAAGCCTCATTTTCGGTACATTTTATTCTGGAAAGGAAGACATAAATGACTGATCGTCTGTACATAGAACTGTACAGGTTGAAGAAATTTTCTCCTTCCTTAACGGGTGCCTTCGTTGTGTAAGTGGAAGCACATCTGGCTAGCAGTCGGCTGGTCCAGAGTTAAGATTCCGGCGACGGCATAGCTGATTTTTCCTGTTCCGAAATAAACCTAATCACTATACATAGGATACAACGGTTCCGGCATTTTTTTTAACCAAATGGCTGAACACTTGCAACTTAATGCATTCATTTAGAATGATAGAACCCATCGGTCATTTAGCCGTTTTATAACAGGCAGCGTTGTATAAGGTGCACCATGGAAAACGGGACTTATCTTACATCCGCGAGAAGGGTGATGACAAGCCTGAGATCCTGATAGGCTCCTTGAGGAATAAATGAAGCGACTGTAATAATGATTTCTAGACTGGATAAATTTGGAAATTTATGTTATCATAAGCATAACGTGATATATATTATGATTATAAGCTTATAATGTTAAGATTATAAGTAGATTTTTACTTTCTTCTTTTTTAAACAGTTTAAGACATTTTATCTAAAGTTTCTGCTACGGATTTTGAAAAGTTTAAAGCTTACCGCTTATGCATTTTTTTATTTAGCATCTTTCTGCACTGAGTTTTCAGGCATAAAGTGTATGCTCTAGGCAACAAGTTTATTATAACAAAACGCATGCTGTGCTTAATAAGTTTAGAAGTCTTTTGCAAAATATACTGCCAACATCTAACAGAACAAATTTAAACGGCTAAAGTTAAACATCATCATTTAATCTCCCGGAGCATTGACATTATCATCAACGCATTAAACTACATTGTCACTAAATGATCAAAGAGCAAATATCTGAAAATAAATAAGTATTGCCTCAATAGTTTAAAAATTCTTTAACAAAAATGTCGCTAAATTTATTAACAAATACTTAGTCAAAGCACTCAAAAGTTTACTTTCTAGAAAAGAGGATTAAAAATATAGTGTTGAAGCTGCACATGCAACTGAAGGAAAAGATTCTATAAAACCTTTGAAACTAATCCTGAAAATTTATGCATCTTACGCTGATTCTTGTTACTTTAGTATTTTCAACATTTCTTCTCCAGCATGTTATTATAGTTAATATTAGTGCTCTATGAATCAGGAAACTTTAAAAAAATCAACAGACAGGCGTTTCAGAGCGTGGTTTTTATCAAGGAATTATTCACACAAATCACAAAGGAGGAATATTTTGGGCACAAGAATAAAATTTAAACTCATGTGCTTCCGCCTCTGTAATAAGTCTTCAGGTGCAAGCCGTACTTTGATACTACAGTTTTTCCATTTTATATGATATTTTTAAGGTTTAGAAATTTATGGCGTATCCTGCATACGTAGTATCGAAAGCATGCATAGAGTTCTTGCATACTGAACGCTTGTGCCCAAAAACATATATGAATTTATAGCCCACAGATAAAGTGTTTACTAGACCTGTATATGGGTTCATAGTGTTTAAAGCAGTGATGCCCAATCTTTGGGCTCTCGCGAGCACAATTTAGCCTATCGCGAGCACATTTCCAAAACATCAAAATTTTTTCCAGTCTTATGTGACATCTGAAATATTAATTTCGGCAAATGGGTTTGAGATGATTAATAATATTGGTTGAACTTTATGGAAATCAGAGAAGCGGAGTTCACAATTATTTTTCAGTTCATTTAGGTTTTCCGAGTACTTCTCTCTTTTAATTGCCTTGTCGTTATTAATATGGCTTGATAAATTCTGAAAATGGGTGAAAATGTTTTTCTTTCATCTGATTTATCCAAATCGGATATCAATTATTATCGTCCAATCGTTATAACTCTCGTTTCCGGATTCCAAAAACTACTTTATTGGCGAAAAAATTCTACAAATCGTTTTGAAGCACTTTTCCACTGCTGAGCATCTAACATCAGAATGAAGAAATAAGATTCCATGTTCGCTATCAAGTTCATTGAGTCACCAATTAATTATTTTATAATGTCTTGCAAGATATCTCTTATGGCTATAAATGCTTACCATATATTAACGATTAAGAAATATAAATGAATGGTTATTTTTAAAATATTTTTTGTTCATAGTACCTAATTGGGCTGGCGAGCACATACAAAATGATCGGTGAGCACAAGGTTGGGAACCGCTGGTTTAAAGGTTTACAACTCTTCTAACATCTCAAATATGTAATAAATGGGAATTAAAATTGAATTTTAGTGATCAGTATGTTCACTAATCAGAAGTTATATTAATTTTATTATCTATAATTTTATTATCTAATTTTATTATCTGTAGTATGGTTCTTCTACAGAGATTTAACATATTGATGAGACATTCTTCACAAGAACAACTTTTATTGTGATGCCAGATCATGGATTTTTCGCAAATCTGCGATTTTTGGCAAACTTGTGCTTGCGATTTTGCGAAATGTTTGCTATCTCCATCATTTCCTTATACTACTCTTTGCGACTTCAAAGTTTTTTTAATATATCGTAAAATGCATTGTAAAACACAGAATTATGTACCTTAATACTAATATTCATGATTTTAGAGCTCTACAAATTTTGTTTTTAAGACAGTGCCCCCCGCCTCAGTTGTATGGTGATAACGAATTGAACAAAAGAACTTGCAACTTGTGCGCCATATATTGAGTACCCAAACATAGAAAGAAATAAAATTAACCCTTCTGATTATAATACTGCTGAGAACTAAGGAACATAAATGACTTAAAAATCAAAGCAACTGCATTTTTCTGAATAACAAAAATAAATTTACCAGTGAAAGAACAAAAAAGGCTTTCTTGAGTAATCGGAATCTGAAATAAGTCGGAATGGAAAACTCACTGAAAAGCCTTCCTCAATTCAAATGTTCACAATTAAGAAAAAAAAATTGAACTGCCAATTCAAAAAGTTTAGTACAAAAGTGCTAACAATCTAAACATGAGGAATATCTTACAAATTAATTTGAAAACAGAAATCTAAACTAAATGAGAGTTAATTATAAAAGAAATGGATATTTAAACAATTGAAAATGAGCAATATAGTTCTAAAATTTCCGTTAAAGTTAAGATACGTAATTAAAACGACTAAGGATAACATAAGGTAACTGTGACGTCACAAAATATCGCGTGATCTCTGACGTCATTTGCGACTTTTTGCGAATTTCTTAGTCTTCTTTTGCTGTTTTAGTTGAAAACTTTTTGACAACACTGCTCAAGAGAAACATATGTATAATTTAAACATATATTAACGAAAAAAACGCGCTACGAGAGCCTGTCGCCCTCAATAACCTCAAAACGCAAACGGTCAAACAAACCTACTGGTGCATCATTAGAATTCCTTTAGAATGCTGCCAAAGAATTCAAAACAAATTTGATAGCTACAATCAGTCTCTACAGATTCAGTTATCCTAAGAGTCACTGACCTCAGGGATAATTTACGATATTAAAAGTTTTCTTGGTTTTCATTACGTATTATAAAATTATAAATTCGCAATAATTACAATTAAACAGCCAAAAAGATCAAATGAAACATTTTAAGAAATTTGAATTGAAGATATCTTACAGAAAATAATAATATCAGTCTTTTGAAAAATATTTCATCACGTTATAAGTTATTTGTCCCGCCTTCCTAGCAAGACTTCGTGGTGTGGTGGTCTGCACACTAAGCGCATATCCCAGAGGTCCGTGGTTCGATTCTCGGCGAAGGCATTGCTCATTTTTCATCTTGTCCGCTTCCAAAAATACCTAATGCCTTTACAGTGGCGCCCGAACTAAAAGGGTGGTGGATGAGGATGCTCCGCCACCAGGATTTGGCGACTGGATCCCCTAATCCTAAGTCGCCCTTTAAAAGGGGGAGTATATAAGATATTTCTCCTGCCTTCCTAGCATCTAGCATGCCTTCGTGTCGTGGTGGTCTGCAGGCTAGGTGTGTATTCCAGAGGTCTGTGGTTCGATTCCCGGCAAAGTACAGTGTCATTCTCACAACAGTCAAAAGTTCAACTGATGTTCGCTTTATACTTCGACTCGTTGTACAATAGAGTGTTGATGGAATGAATAATGATTTAGAAACAAGAAAAAGTATTCTTCGTATATTCAATGCATATTTAGGTGTTAGGAAAAGATATAATAAACCTTTTATATTATTTTTGCCTTGTAAAACTTTAATAAATCGGAGTTTTAATAAATCGAAGTATTGCATGCAAAGAGTAATCAAAATGAATAATTTATTCAAATATCAAGACATTCAGATTATTATAAATATATTGAGAAAATTTCTCAGTTATTGAAAAAAGATCTTAAATAAAAATAGTTAAAGACTGTTTTTCTAATTTTATTATTTAAACATGTATTTGGAGTCTGAGACATATAATCTGATCTTATTGAGAAAAATTGAAACTAAATATGGAGATATATGTGTTGTAAAAATAGAAGTAGATAATAAAGAAAAATAGAATTAAAAAAAATCATGGAAAACTTTGACAAAGTAATCAAGAAAGTTAAAAGAAATTACATAATCAATTATAAACATATGAATGATGGAGAATATTTGTAAGAATCACAAAACATATTAAAAATGTAGTTTTATTTTTTTTTATAATATTTTATCTTTTTTAACCTTTTGCAGTGTCATAATATCATATTTTAAGAATTACCTTAAAATGCTATGTAAAAAAGTTCAAAATTAGGTTATTTTTTATAAATATTCCAATCTTTTTTCATATTTTGCATTGTTTTTATATAGAAATAACTTAGATTTTGATATCGTAATTTTTTGAGTTTTGAGGGTGCTTTAAATGTCATAAAAAGGGTGAAATTCTTATTAGTAAGCAGCATATGTACACCAATATAGTAAACAGATTTTTTTTATAAACAGGTGCTGCTTTTAATATCGTAAATTATTGAGTTTTGAAGATGTCTTAAAATGTCATAAAAATGGTGAAATGTTCATTAGTAAGCAACATATGTACTCCACTATAGGACACTGATTTTTTTAGACAGCTGTAGTTGAAAGCAACACCTGTTTAAAAGAATTGTCTGTGTCCTATTATGGAGTACATATGCTGATAAGGTGGATACGAACCAGTTCCCCTTAGAAAGCCTTAAGCAACCTCCAGGGTACTAGATATTCTTTCGTGTGCTTTATCTCATAACTCAAATAATCCAAACCCGAGTATCCTTTGTACACTATAAACCTCTGAATTTTGCTTTTTTGATGTTTTAAATAAACTCACCAAATTCTTGATTAAATTTTATTTCTTTTCTTGTATCTTTGATACTTCATTTCTTCGATAATAGATTATAACCAACACCTATTTTATCTGAAGATAAAAGCATACAGACGTTCATGTCGACGCATTGAAGAGATGTTAGACTCGAAAATTCCAAAAGAGACAGCTAGTGATGAATATCCAAATATTTGCTGTATTCTTTAGCCTATTTACTGGCTTCACCTACTTTTAAGCAGTATTCAAAACAGGCTTTTGCACAACTGTCAAGCATCGTTTAATTATTCCACCTGTATTATCGTTTCAGTAACACTAAATGAAGCTGAAACCTTATTTGCTTTTATAGACGGTGAAATTAAATGAAGAATAAAATGCGAGCAATAAATCTTCCCCATTATTACGAAGCACTATATATCCGAGAAACTATGTCAAAGAAACTGCAATCTTTTGGATCACCTTTTATCAGGATAGAAATAAAGGGGGAAAAAAAAAAGATAACTACATCCATTTTTGATGGATTTCAAGTAGGCAATAATTGAAACGTCGAAAGCGCCTCGAATCTAAATTAATGCCATAAAAATGCAAATACAAAAGAGAAATCTTTCTTATGATAATTTACACAGCCACATTAGTTGCAAGGGCATAGGTAAAATAACTTATTCTAAATATATACTAAATATACTAAAGTATGCTCTTATAATCTAGAACAAAAGAAATGTTATACTTTACCTGGGGAAAGGATTTCCACTTTTGACAAAATACTTTCAGGTAAAAATGATTTCAACCAGTTATAGATAAAACTGAAAAAGGATGGCGCTGAAAAGAATGAAATAATAAGTTTAATATTCTAAGGGTGTTTAAATGAAACATTTCTGTCAATGGTCAGAAAATTCAAGATTACCTTAACTGCTACTATATAATTTTTCAAGTAATGACAGCATATTTAACATATTTTAAAAGGCTATCACTTTAATATTAGAGCTAATGCAAACAATATTTAGGTAAATGAAAATCCTACTTAAATTATTCTAAGATCCTTCCAGACTGATATTTTTTTTTGGGGGGGGAGGGAATCTAGCAAAAACTTAAAGGATCTAAATAAGCAGATTTTGCAGTGGCACATGTCTGTGGAAAACAGCACGCTGAAGTGTACAGGTCGCTTTTGAGCAACAATTAAAAGCGTTTTACTGGCGTAAATCGTCATTTCTCGTGCGAATCTCGAATGGTAGGTATAGCTATACGAGTACGCAACTCGCCGACATGCATTTTATCTATGTGGCTGCTGGCGGAAATAAAGCAGCTGCTTAAAGGAGGGCTCGGGAACCGCTTTTGTGTACTTTAACAGCATCAACGACCATAACATGCTGAAAGTAATGGTTCATGGTCTGAACTTTGATAATTATTTAAAACCTAACATGACTTTGCCTTGTATGTATATTATCGAATAGTTTTAGATAAATAAGTCGATTCAATTTATCATATTTTTCTCGCACGTGAGATTTCACCTACCAAGATAGGGACGAAACTGTGGTTTTTCACAACTTTTTTCATCGCGCGGTTTGCTTATGTGCTCTATCTCTGCCATTTTCACGAATGAACTTAATATTTTGAAAGATATTGTTTTTACCCACGGTTATCCCTCTATCAGGATAGACACCGCATGTAGTAAACTTTCCATTCCTTCAGTAACTTCGAGCTTTAATCTTCAAACTAAGGACACTTCATTTTCTTTTATTTGCATTTCATTTATTCATAAATCGATCCTTTACTTGCTAAATACTAAAAATAAATAAAAAAAAAAAAAAAAAGGATTTTGAATGTCTTTTAAACTTTTCAATAAAATCAAATTCTCATTTACATAAGAACGGATACCGGATTTTCATTCATGGAAAATTTATAAAATTTTCCACGAATATGATTTTACATATATATTAAAAACTAGCTGGTTGGTAGTGGGATTTCTGGCGCATAACCTTAAAAGTTTTCTGTGCCATATGACAAACCGACAGGTCCATAAAATTCAGGATGAGCGAAAGCATATGGTATATTAAACAAAAGGAAGTGGAAAAATTATTCAATAGCTTCCCATTCCTGGAATGAAAACGTCAAATTAAAATTTTCGGAAGCTAAAATATCATTGCTCTTACTACTTCGCTTCTCAATATGCATTTCTTAAATGTTTCTGAAATTTTCCTGCACAACAGTCTTGTTAATGACGTAACTTCCACTCCATTTCTGTCCGAAGACGTGGAAAAACCTGTAGAGATATTAGATATTTTTTGGGGAAGCAGGAGTCATGAAAAATTAGCAATGCGTTCACCGAGAATCGAACCACGGACCTCTGGAATACCGGCCCAGCGTGCAGAACCACTACACCAGAAGGCAGGAAGAAATACCTTATAACCATACTCCTATCTTCTTTCGATTCAACATTACAGCTTCCTACTTTAAGTAATACACTTGTACCGCGTTTCACCACCGTAAACGAGAACGCTTTAATAATGTTCGACTAAGCTCCAATAAAACTGCAATCAGCAATAAAATTTTTGCTTATTTGTGCTAATCATTAAGATTAATTTTTTTAACTACTCAAGTGCGTGAAATTAATTTCCGCAAGATTTGATTTATTTCAGCATTTAAATGAAAAACTAATAAATTTAATACATAGCATAGCTATATGATAAATTCAATGAACAGTAAATCAGAACTTACCGTTTACTAGGTAAGCGACTTTTAAGCTTTCTGGATAATTTGCTTCGTAAGTTTTCAGCAACATAAATGCTCGTTCTACAACTAGAATATGTATTAGATTAGTACTCATAAAGAAAGAGGACTCATGATTGTAAATGAAGATTAGGCAAATATTTTTTCTAATTATATTAATATTTCATAATTATGTTAGTCAATCTAAATAAGGCGTGACTGCAACGAAATATACTTTTCAGATAGATGTATTTTGAAAGAAAAATAGTTCCTATTTTTCTTGATTAATTACGAAAAAAAGCAGCAAAATGAAAAATTTTTAGAAGAAAAACATTTTGAACAAGAAATGGACATCAGTAAAACTCATTTACTAGATATAAGCATAACTCATACTTGTGTGTTCGAAATGAAGAAAATTATGTCATATAAGAATATCACTTTCGTGCATCTATTTTAATTGGTTGGAGACGACGTTGGAGTATTTGCTTACTGAAGTTCGATCAGTTATGTTAGATGAATACAGATGTATAGGTAAGAACTTGAGAGAAAGTATACAAGATAGATATTTATTATTTTGCTTTTACAAAGGGCTTCCTAGATTTTCTAGATTTTTCACGAAATCTTAACATGGTTCCTACCGCCCATGAATGGGCGATTTACTCTCATGGTGGCTGGTGGAGACTTTTGTCCGATAATGAAGATCAAAATACACTCAACATACAGAAGTGTATGCATATTTACACACATGAACTGTTAGTTCCTTACCAGACTGGCTCTCCTGTTTCCATAAATTTATACAGCTTCTTTTAATACCTTTATTGTGAGCAATTACCTTTATTGTGAAACGTAATATTGTATGCTATTATGGCCCTTTAAAATTCTGACATGAAAATATATCTGTTGAAAAGATTTTAAATTTTCACAGGCTACAAAACAAAGGCTTTACTTTTTTAAAAAAGACATTAATTAGGTGACTTTTTAATTTTTTTTCAAATAGACCAACCATTTTCAACCTTTTTTCCTTTCGCGTTACAGCTTGATAACACTTTTGTAATTATGAAGTACGCCTAACCTTCCCCTTCACAGCCTACGAACTCCCTCTAGTCTTTTGCAATATATCTTACTATTCTACTGTTTTAATGCAATAAATTTTCTAAACTAAAGTGAATAAGGTTAAAAAACATAATATGTTCTCTTTTTTGTATACTTATATTTTTTAAATGTTATCGAATAGTTATTGAAGTCCTTGAATCCAGTCATCATGGTTCAGTTTCAAGCTTAACTGAAATGAATAGTGTTCAAAAATGTGCTTGGGGTGCCAAATCCACAATTATTCATAACAGTTTCAATTTTATGCGAACTTCTACTTTTTAAATACATAGCTATTTTTATGTGAAGAACTCTTTATATTTAACAACTTTAAAAGGACAAAAGCTAATTTAAAACAAAACTGCGTACTCAAAGTGCAAAGGCTTTACTTTTTTTTTTAAAAAGACAGGTGACTTTTTACATGACGCAGCTACAAAGAAAGAACTTCATAACTGATTTGATGTTTCGCTCAGTACTGGAAATACGGTTGGCTGCCAGTTGTTTTATACGCTACACGGTGATTGAGTAGGGAAAGTAATAACTATATGGAATGCGTAAGGAAATTAAGTGATGTGACAGGTGTGAGAGGTATTAGTTATTACTAATTACTTTGCTTTTGTACACATTTCAGGCAGTAATGGTCATATCGGAAATCCTTTCGGTTGTTTCCATGTTATTTAAGGATAAATTTAAACTTTCGTAATATTTTACCTTTATCAGCATTTATTATAACTCTTTACTATTTTCCGCCAATACCGATTATTTATTCACGTACCCTCAGGAATACACACATCACATGTTGGACACCATCATATGCTTGTGTTAAATAGCTACTGCACCAATGTTCTGTTTCTAAGAGAGAAACCTATGTTTTGTTTCTATACTTTGCCGAAAAAATCATGGGCACCAATGTATTGTTACTACTTCCTCTTAGGGAGGAAACTAATGCAGAAACAGACAGGTGAAGCCGTAACTATCTACCTATCAACTGAGAAAAAACTAAACTCTTAAGATTTGCTAAAATACCACACTTTAGTGATCGTATAGGTAAAACGGTAATGCATTGCGTTGTGAAAATGCATTCGGGACCGCGCCGTGAGAGAATCGAATAAATAACATGTAAAATCAATATATATATATATAAGAAAAACATATAACAGATATAAAGAAAACATAAGTAATAGGTTTCCAGATTAAATATCAGTTTATTCAAATTCCTCACAATAAAAATTAAATCTTATCCTCATCAGAGAGTCTAATTTCTTATTTGTGTTACCTTTTAATTTACTTATTTTAGACACAGGGGAATTCTTCAATTTGTCATTTATTTTTTGTTACATTTAAATTCATGATTTGCAAATCTATTACATGACTCTTTTAATTTAACTTGTAGCCGTTCTATAATTTCTAAGAGGTTAAGGAAAACATATTATTTGCAATTCACATCTGTTCTAAGGAAGATTACACAAACAACTTACAAATTATTACATTCTAATTCATATAAAAACCTTAAGGTTTGTCTCGGTAATTTAGAAGGGGAAAGGGAAACAATTGAAAGCCTGAGAATTAATTTGAGATTCGACGTTGTTATTTTACATTCCAAGGAAGTCGTTGAAACCTTACTTAAAGTTCAAACAAAAAAAAAAAAAAAGAACTTATCTCGTAAGGACGTCTTGAAGTGGAGGACTCGTATCCTAATAAGCGTTGACGTCGGTGGGGCTGATATTTATGGTTCACAAATGGAAAGTTTCAGAAGGACGTCCTGTCCTGGCACTATTGGCGAAATACACACGGCAGGTAACTGGTTTTCATAACAACGAAGCAATTTTCACTCTGGAAAACAGAAAACAGGAGCACTGCTGCCCAGCACGGCTGTCCGCCGGTCTTGAAAGTCTTAAGTCAATCGCCCGGTTCATTTCGCCTTTTAACCAGACGCGGCAGGTGAGCATGTTTGCAGCTCCGGCCGGAAACGTCTCTCTAGGCAATTACAGCTCGCCTTCTCTCACTCATCCCAAGAGCAAGCTCGAAGTTACAATCTTAGCCCCAAAGTAAGTAAGTCCACCCAGTAAGTGATTCAAGAGTAAGAAGAGTAAGTGAGTAAAAGTCTCTCGCCTCTTAGTCAAAACGCGGCCGGGGAGCATCTCTCTTCGTAAATTACAATCGTTTTCGAAATCGCTCAACCCAGAGCAAGTTTCAAGAGTGACGTCTCAAAGTAAGCTCCGCAAGCAAGTCTCGCCAAGTCTTCGCAACGAAAAGTAATTCAAACTCGAATTTTCTTCCTCTCCTCCACAAATGCAGGCTCCCAACTATGGCTTCAATTATCGCCCCCTTTAATTTGGGCAAAATTTGCGTTTTCAACCCCTGAATGCGGAAATAAGGGTGATCGCGCATGCGCGCCCTTCTTCACTTAGCCAAACAACCGGACCCTCAATCGCCAAAAAACCTGAATGACTTACATCGAAAGTCAAGTGGCAACCTCTGACCCTTCTGTCACGTACTTCCTGTCCTAAGGTCAACTGCACAATGAAATTTTTCTAGAACATTCTAAAGGACAAAACGTGCGAAATCATGACTTAGCAAAATTGTCCCCCTTTCCCTGCTTCTTTTCACAATTAATCAAAGCTTGTACAAAAATTTCAAATAAAAGAAAAATAAATAATATTCTTTTAAACTAAATAAATTCCCAGAAGCATCTGTTTTTCCCCAAAATTAAAGCATTAAAATAAATAATTCAGAATCAAATAAAATTAAGATTTCCATAAATCAGAAAATCATTCACCTAGTTTTTAAAACGCTATCAGACAAATTCTCTACACAACATTAAAGGGTATTAAAAAATCTAGTTCTAAGGTATAGTAAGTGTTTAAACAAACTTGACAACTATGCTGAAAAATAGAGAAACATATGTAGAATCTGAAAATAAATTTGGTTTTTGAAAATTTTCTTTCGTTTGGTTTTTATTTTCAAACGGCCCTTACTTAAAAAACTGCCCTCGTAACTTGACTTCGGGTCTTTAGATATCTGTGTTGCTCGCGCATTTAGAAGGCCTGAGCTAAGGCTTGATAGTATTTTTCCTTGCAAACTTCAAGCATTAAATATTTGTATTTAACTTTAAACAATTTCTGTTGGTTTAGATCCCGCAAGGAGACGAGAACCAAAATCTTAATTCAAATGAAAATTTATTTCAATTAGAGTTTTATAAATATATATCTTTAGGATTTTATCGTACCCATCATGAGAGCTCGAAAAAAAATCAATTACTCCTAATGATTAATTAATTAAAAACTTATTCTTACCTGTTGTATGTATCACAGATTTCCAGCTCAGGCCTTGGAGATCGAGAATATACACTTGTTTATCACAGGAAGGTAAGCCCTTCAGATAAGAAATATATATATATATATATATATACAATATTCGCAACAAATAATTTCAGAATAAGCTTTGTTATAAAGTCAAAGTATTAGTTCACTAATTAAAGTATTAGTTAACTTACATTTACTCTTTCCTGCTTTTGTCTTAACAGGTCACTTTTAATTGTATACGCGGCAACTTTAATTGAATCCAGTTTTGTCATAGATAAAGCAAGTCCTGAAATTTACAATATTCATGCATGATTAAAAATATACTACAGTGTTGTAGTATTATAAAATCATAATGTTAAATTTATTTTACACCTTATTATGCAAATTTATCAGAATACCGAGACACAGTTTCACGTTATTGCAAATAAGAATAGAATTAAAGGTAAATGAAACTATGGGGATCTTTTGCGTTATATTACAACATGCGCCAAACAGTTTTCATATTCGCCAGCTTTGCATATTGGTCATTGTGTTGTTCTTATCTCTCACAAATGTTTTCTTGTTGTCAAAGTATGAGTTTATCATTTAATGTTTTTAGAGTGTGTCAATCTGCTCTCTTTATTTATTGAAATAACTGACTAAGAGATACATCTCTTGCGTTTAGAAGTTTTACCACAGGTGTAGGTAAAAATGGGCGGGACACCAGAAATTCAACATTGGTCTTACTTGTATAGTCTCGCTGCACTTGCTGTGCAGATCCACCTCAGTTTTGAGGGAGAACAAACACTGCTCCGAGTGTCTCTCATCTCTTTTTCCCTACCACCAACCTTTCGAGAGGACTTACGGCTCTCCATGTATTTTGAGTTCTCCCTTGATTAACAGACAGTATGCGCTAACAAACATCCATGCCTTCACCAGGATTTGAATTCCAGGCCATCGATAAAGCAGTCAGCGTAAGAGTAAGTTTTTTTTCCTAGAAGACTTACTTAAGGAACATCGTATGTCAAACACATCACTATGTCTTTTTTGCTGAAGGAAGAAAACAAGGTATACGCGTACTTGCACTCGAACTTGGTGTGAATGTTACCGAACAGATGACAACAGTTGATACTAGAGATGCCATTTAAAAAAAGTAAGTGATATACTGAAGCGTTCACAAAAGACCTATTTTTTAATGAAGTTACGGAGCAAGAAGAACTAGGGGAACGTGCTTTTAACGAAAAAAAGAGCGATAGGAAGGCGAATACAACGAAAGGAAAAAGGCAGAAGAACGCAAGCGTGAGCCTCAAAAATTGAAAATACAAATAGCTAGTTCAGGCGCTAGTCATAATTCCGTACCTGCTTTGCGTTTCACCGACATGGATATACCCAAGAAACTTTAATTCCTCATTTTAATCCAAAACCTGATGTCATGAGCCTTTTCCTCACTTTATTTGAAAAGCAACTAAAAATTTTAAACGTATCTCAAGGAAAATGGGTAGTGTATCTAGTAGGTTTGTTACCTAACGACACTGCAAACTAATTGCAAAAGAATCTGTTAGAGATGGCCAAGATTATGAGGAAAATCAAACAAATCCTCTTAAAGAGCTTCAAATTAGGTTCTGAAAAGTTCCAAAAATTATTTTCGCAGCATCATAAAAGTCCTGGTAGTAGATAACGAGACTTTTAGTTTGATTTAAGAAATTTCTTTGATGGCTGTATCGGAGAATTAAAAGTCAAAACTTTTGAGAAGTTAAAGGATTTGATGATATCTGATCAAATTTAAAAAGATCCCTTCCAGATTATAGAAAACATTTTGTGGATCACTGGATAGAGTGGTCCGATACTCTTCAACTTGCTGATAAATTGAAATTATATGAAGAAGCTAAAAACATAAGAAAGCATCTCCGAACACTTCTCAGCGTAATGGTCCCCAAAATTATAAAAATAACCCTCAGATTGTTGAAAATTCAGCGACAAGGAATTCGGGCATGATAGGAGATCGACCAACTATTAGTTGCTATAGTTGTGGAAAATCAGGCGTCGGTTAAGGCTAAGTGTCCAACCTGCTCTCCTTCTTTAAGTAAAGAGTCAGCCGACTTTAGAGCTATAAACTTACTTACTTTAGGGCTATAAACTTACTTACATTGTCTATGAAGACACCTTACACGAATGTTTTAAGGGTGAATACCAACAGATTTACTAGTATTATCCGTGCTGACACTGCCGTTAGTCACAGTATAGCGGGAGAAACATTATATAATCTCTTGAAAGAACAGGGATCAGAATATAAGAAAATTTTTATGAAGGTCATTCTTGCCAAAGGGATTAAGAGATCCACATGACCTAGGTAGACATTGAAATGCCGCCCAACCAGCATAGTGGTTAGCGTCATGACTGATGTGCCGAAAGGCTCGGGTTTGAATCCCAGAGAAGGCATGGATGTTTGTAAATGTAAAGTGTCCTTGCGGCATGGGGTCACTCTAAATATGCGGTGAGCCGAAAGTCCTCTCGAGAGATTGGTGGTGGGGGAGGATGGGGGGAAGAACCCTAGACCTGTTCCCTATCGGGGTGTTTTCCACCAAAATTGGAGGCGGCAACTGAGCTAAATCGCACAGTCACCTGTAATGTGCTCAAGGTTGCTGCCAACGACAGGCGTAAACTTGCGCTCCTCGCCAATAGGAATTTTGTGGGCTGGGCTGACTATAGGTCAGACAAGTGAGCATTAGCAACAACAATAACAGAAATTCAAACTGAAGGAAGCTCATTCTGTATAACTTTATTTACGCAACCCACAGCAAAGGGTAATAGAAAACTTTCAGGATCGGATTTTTGGAATTGTTTAGACCTACTAAATCATTGTACCATGATAATCAGAAACAGAAGTTTAAGTTTACTGTTATGATTTTAAACCCAGTGAGCGATTATCCCCAGTTGCTTTAAAACCGAAACCTATTGGAACAGTAGCCTTTCGCCTTTAAATACAGTTTGATTCTAAATTGTTTTTACAAATTAAGAGGGGTGAAAGTACTCATCCAGATGAGCAATAATTACCATCGAACATAGAGTCGCATTCCACTCTGAGAGGCAGACTAGAGGAATATTAAAATTCTAACCTGAACATACAACAGTGCTGGGAGAGCGAATGAACGAGACGAAAATTTGCACAATCAGTTTAGCGAAAAACTCGAAGAGAGTGCACAAAACGGATAAAACCGAAAACTTGGCGTTCCAGTGTTAATTCGAGCTCAGACATTTGATGGCAAATACTCAAATGCACATCTTTGGTTGGCAAAGTCTCAACCTCGCAAACTATTGCAACAAGTTAATTATCTAATCAAGGGCTGAACATTATAAGGTATTTCCCCCGCCTTCTTGGCATGCCTTCGTGGTGTGGTCGTCTGGACGCGTATTCCAGAGGTCCGCGGTTCGATTTCCGGCGAAGGCGTTGCTAATTTTTCATCTTGCCTGCTTTCAAAATTACCTAATATCTCTACAGGTAAAGGTAAAGGTAAAAGTATGGGGGACACCAGCGATGTACCATAGGTCAACTGGTAATGCCTTCCCATACTAACTCTTTGAGAGAGAAAAAAAAGGGGGGTAATTGCAAGTTTTATAAGAATTTGCATAGACTGAAGCTTTTTAAAAGGTCTAAGGTTTGCCTATTATGGTACATCGTGCATTCACAGTACGCCCCGCATCAGTATTATTAAAAATAATGTGTAGGGCATAGTGGATTACAAAATAGTAGGAATACAATTGAGATTCACAAGATAAATTGAACATCTGATTTGGTGCAACGAAAATAGGAGATAAAACATAATTAAAAACATAATGAGATAATTATAATTAGTACTGGCAACACAATGTTAAATGAATTGTTATAATATGCTAAAGGGTAGGTGTCATGGGTTATTTCAGATATATTGGTTTATTGCAGTTATAAAGTTCACGAGCGTATCCATTTGTCCATAATCACAGTATGTAAAAGTTCACTAAGTTTTAAACTGTATGTGGACTTCTTGACAGAGATCTAGGCCGTAGGAAGAGAGTCGTTGCATAATTTTCTGAAACTTTGGATATTGATGTTTATCTTAATTAAATCTTTGGGAATGCCAGGAGGTCAGTTCTTGGGGATTTTATGTGAATATTCTCGTAAGGGGCATGAGAAAAAGTAGTGATCAGGAGTTCCCTGTCCCCCATATGCAGATGTCAGAATTGCAAATTCTTGCGTAGAAATATGTGGGGAAGGGTCCATGTCCTGTTATAAGTAATTAGGGAAATATTCGAGTCAGAGATGCTAAGCTTACATTGGGCATTAAGTTATATGTGCGTCTTCCCTGTGGAACATTGTTCCACAAATCTTGCCAAGATTTTGAAGCAAGTTGTTTTAGTTGGTACTTGAAATTTGAGCGTGGCCTAATATCTCTACAGTGGCGCCCGAACTAAAAAGCGTATTGGATGAAGATTCTTCTCAACCAGGATTTGGCGATTGTGTCCCCCAAAAAACCCAGTCGCCCTTTAAAAGGGAGAGTATATTACTCCCGTCTTCTTGGCATGCCTTTGTGGTGTGGTGGTTTACACATTGGGTGCGTATTCCAGAGGTCCGAAGTTCGATTACCGGCGAAGGCGTTGCTAATTTTTCATTTTGCCTGCTTCCAAAAATATCTACAATGTCTCTACAATATTATCAACTAACTCCAACTTCCGTTGTATGCCGAGATTAGCATAAAAAGTTCATGCTGTGTTCCGGCTGTCAGAACTTCGTCTTCCATAGAAGGGTGCTTTAGGCAGAATGAGCGCATCACAGTAAGTCCAGGAGGACAGGATAGAAGATGGCGAAGGGTAAAGGAACTGCTACCTTGATACTTGATATCAAGGTGCTAGTTTTCTACCCCTAATAGATAATTTCCCTCTAATAATTTAGTAATAATAAATTTGTTTCATCTAATATATGTGTTGTAAGTCGTACTTTCGAGACATGCACAAAACGCAAGCTCATTTTCATCAATCAGCCCAATAAAACGAGAGATACAGAACTGCCTTTTTTTTGGGGGGGGGGCATTTTACTTACATTTTATCGTAATCACCTCAGTTGAAATCGCCAAATTACCAGAATGTGCCAAACTCTGGCAATCCTACTCGTAACAATCTTTTAGTCGAGCAACGTCGCCTTTTTCTTAAGCAATCGTTTTGTTATTCTTTTTGTTCCAAATTCCAGTGGATGTAGTAGACAAATCGTGAATTCACCCCCCTCCGAGACACAGTTTTAAAATATTCAGTCGTGGAGTCTGCTAATGAAAGAAATTGCTGTAAAATTTCTACAGGAATACAGTACTTTTATCGCAAAATCGTTAAAGGGAGGAATAATACGAGATGCGTTTGATAGATAGCCCAGTAAAAACGCTGAAGTGGAGCGCCATGCCGAGTTTGTGTGGTCTGATTTTTTAAACGAAAACGGAGCACTGTGTATACGAGGAGATCGGAGCAAAGAATTACAGAAAATTTTAGGAATTTTTTTTTGGTTGTGTGTGTGTGTGTATCGTAAGAATTTTTTTTTGTATTATAGAATTTTTTTTTGTATCATAATAATTATTAGATAATTAATTTATATTTTAAATTGCTATAAAGTGTATTTATATATATACACGATTACCGATACACGATAAATACCGATAGTTTGGGATTGTTTAAAAAAATTTGTGAAAATATCCACCTTGTACCCGATAAGTAACTTTCACCTTTCCATCTGCAAAAAATCCCCAAATTGCGGCAGTGTGCAGGGGGGGGGCAACGTTACTACGTAAGTACCTCTTCGACCTAGTGTACTATATCGCAATTCATGGCTTTGAGGCATGAAAAATGCAAATGAAATTTTGTGTATTGATCAACAAGAACTGCCTCCCTTTTTCTTTGCGTTTTGTGCACATTAAAATTCATTTCTAAGAAAATGAATATTTTTTAATTTCTTTCTTTACGATTGATAAAATATTTACAGAGAAACAATTAGGAAACTATTCGCAGCTAGAAGCAGATAGCCCTCAGATGCTTTGCTATAAACAAATAAACAAAATCAAAACATTTCTTCGTTAAATACAGCCCATCAGCGGCCGAGTGGTAAAATCGCTGAACACCGGTGGTTCAGCAACCTAGGTTCGATTCCAGGCGAATGGGTTTGCTGCGTGGGCGTTTTCGTGGTTTACGAGCCAGTTTCCCTTAGAAAGTCCTCCGTGAAGACATTAGTTTCCTTAGGCAGATAGTCCTAACGTGCTTTGCCATAATCAACCAAACGAAATCTTCGTTAAATACAAATATTTTTTTAAATTACGCTACGAAAATAATTTTTCTTCGACGTGCTTTCAAGTGGAAAAACATGCTAAGATTATAGATATATGTATAAGAAGTAAACTTTTAATAAAAAAAATGCTGAAAAGAGCGCAACTTTCAGCATGATGTAAAGTTTCGATATGGGAAATTAAACAGCAGGATTACTGTTAATTTATTCATTTGTGTGTATGTGTGCGCGTGCGCCCATCCGCTTGTTTATAGCGGGGATATTAGAGAATAAAATCATTTTACTATCACAATTTATCAATGTAAAATGTTACGTTGGCTCTCACGCAACGTTTGACGGGGTCCATTGGGCCCTGTGAAGTGTAATTATCTGGATAATTATTGCTGCTGGGCAATACTCATATTGTCATTGGTTAAACAATGGATGTTCACCACGCATTACCATACATATCTGCATATGTTGGCTGTTGGTGTAAAATTTAAACAATTTAATAACTGATTGTTTAACTTATTTAGGAACAGCTGCGCGGTTTGGTTTTGGTTTTTGGTTTATGGCAAAGCACACTAGGGCAATCTGCCTAAGAGGAGGGATGCCTTCGTGGAGGACGTTTTAGGGGAACTGGCTCGTATACACGTTACACATGGGGAAAACCACAAAAACGCCCATGCAGCCAGCCCGTTCGACGGATTCGAACCTCGGGCCGAACTACCAATGTTCAGCGACTTTACCGCTTGGCCGCCGGTGGGCCCTGAACAGCTGCGCGGACATTTGCCTAAAAGAAGAGATACGGTTATGCAGATCTTTTTGCTAGAACTAAGAAAAGTACATAACGGCTATCTGGCCTAAGGAGAAGGTCATCTTTGTCAAGGACTTTCTTGAGGAAACTGGCATTTTTCTACGTTCGAATGGAAAAAACAAAGCTATCACACGTTCGCTGAGGTTCGGAATTGGGATCTAATTATTATTGTTATGCGGTGTTATCCAGGCGTCACTGGCTGACCGCCTGAGAAATTTCTAAAGGAAACTGGATTGGATTCATGTTACGGAGTGAAAAACAGTAAAAGTCCCATGCAATCAGCCATATAGTCAAGAAGTGAAACATGTGCGAACTTCAAGTGTTCAGCAGTGCTTATCCACTGCGCCAATGGCAAGTTGAAATTAATAAATTATAAAGCAACTTAAAAAGGTACTTACGTACTATCTCTTCGACTGCGAAAGTTGGGTTACCATCGAACGATGAAAGACAACGGAGATATTTATCAACGATTCATGCAGAATTCTGAGGAATTGGCACCTTTTAAATTTAAGAAGCAAATAGCATTCGTCCTACTTCGCTTAGTGCTTCGTAAAAACGCTTTCGTAAATTTCTATTATTTTGTTAGGCCCCCAATTTGAGTACGCTATGAGTACAAACTTCCCGCAGGTAACTTCAGCTAACTATATCTTGTCCATTATTATACATTTTTCTGGTAGGATCACATATATACCGTTAAAGATAATTCACTGCTTGCTCTTCTGCAGAAAGCAAGTTTCAAACATTAGTCTTTTTTTGGGGGGGGGGTGAAAGGAAAAATACATCAATAATTTATATCCTTGTTCAAAAACCGTGGCTCATCGAGAACCACTCAAAAGCAAATTTAGATCAAACGAAAGCGCAGTTTTTATGAACGCCCTTATCCATAAATGGCGTTAAATCGCGTTGCTTGGCGACAGTTTCATGGTCGACGGATATTATGTAAGAACTTGATAAATTTCAATTTGTAAAGCTATAAATGCTTACCTTTTATATCGCTTCCACCTAAGTGCAAAATTCGTACTATTGATCCTTCATTATCATACCCAAGCATTCTTGTAAGAAAGTATTTGGAAACCTGTTATACAAATAGTAATAGTATCAAAATTGATTAACATTTTTATATCGAGTTTAACGTCTGTTTATATATATTTAACATTAAATTCAAAACTCTTGTAGTATATTTATGTACTCAGTGAATTAATCGTCAAAACCAAAGAAAATCGATTAAAATGGAAGTCTAAAATACAACTTTATACTGTATTACTTATTGCTAAAGCTCAAATATGTATTTTGATCTTGTTATGAATTACACGAAGGCTTTATTTCCAAACTTTACAGCAATAAATTTAACGAATAGCATAATTAACATACTTAACTCCGTAAAGCATAGTACTATTACATTAGAATCATCAAAATTGCATTTGAGCGTCCTTTTGAATAAAAGTGAGCTTAAGAATTATAATTAACTAAAGAAATAAAGAGTAGTTACTCAACTAATTTTCAGATGAGAAATTATTTCAAAAATTTCTTATGTTTAAAAATTAGTTGAGTAAATTATCTACAAAATCTATTTAAAAATAAATATCTTACTTCAGGTGGAATGTAGTTTTCATCAATCTTATCCAAACCATTCACTTTCATGAATCGAACATGCTGCAGAGAAACAACGGAATATTAAATTAATTCTCTGTTTTAGTTTAATATTTCATACAAAGTTCTAATCTTTTATTTACACACTTGTACGTTTCATTTCATAGCGTATGATAGCAATGTAAAAACCATGTATCTCTTTCAAAATGAAAGATGTTTAACACCACGAATAATGATGTTTAACAATTTATTGCTAGAAAAAATAGCTTGCTCAATATGTGAGAGAAAATGTTTCATTGTTTGCAGATATCAAAAACTCTACCAACTATACTAATGGCCATGAGAATTACTAAATTCTGAATGAAAACATTTAGGAGTATCCTCCAGTTTACAAATATATTACAATGGAAGGATGAAATGATCACAATTTCTGCAATTTTTGGGTATGCATAGAGGCATACCGCATATAGAAATCAATAACCTAAGCATCCACCTCTGACAAAGGTAGGTAGGTAGGTTACGGAGGACTGGAACGCCTGGTGTCTAACAGAGGTAAACAGGCATGTGTTCCAAGCCCTCCTCTAACTACGGCAAGAGCTTCCTGGAACCACACGAGGCTGCACCAGGAGATTATTGAGGTTGTCAAAGGGGAAGTACATGGCCTTACAAGGGCATTAGTAGGATTGTATTACAAATTGAAGAGGCAAGCTGTGGTGTTACAGATAGTAGGTAGTTAAACTAAAAATACTTGGATAATAAGACGTACGCATAAAAAAGATTAAAAAATGCATAGGCAACAATACACAAAGCACAATGCGTAAAATGCATAAAACAGAGAGCAAAAAAAAAAACAAAAAAAAAAAAAAAAAAAAAAAACAGGTACATACACATAGTCACTTAAGGCACAAAAAGATAAATGGAGTACATGAAGTCACATGAAAGCTGGAGCACAATGTTAGTGTAAGGCAGTTCTGTTGTATATAAATACAGGTACATCTTGAATGATGAATGATGAGTTCATGAATACTCATGTGTGCAGAAGAATGCGGTTAGATTGCTAAGGCGTTGATTATTGTAGCGTCGCTAAGAACATAGATAAAAACACTGATAAAAGGCACGAGGGAGGATGTTTGTAGCACTAATTATTGGGCATTGCCCCAGCAATGTGTGCACCGTGAGGCACACAAGCGTTCACTAACACTGCGTAAGAAGATGTTGTTCATATGCTGTTGAAGGGATTACACACGTATCATTATGGAGGCATAACACATCTCACTAAGGAGATGCCACATATTTGCGAATTGTTAGTATTGCCACTTTAGATTGTGGGCAGGGGAGCTTAAACACACAGTTGTGGTGAAGCCCAGATATTGTAAAATTCACTGGACTAGTCTTAGAGCTTATCGTCAGTACACCAGAGCGTCATTTTAGCACGGTAGGCAAAGGTCTGTGCCCAATGCCGCGATGGTATTCATGATGCTGGAGATTGAATTAACCGCTCCTTTGTGCGTTATAAGGAACCGGTGATAGGCGTTCCTATTATTTGTAGGTAGCGGAAGATGGTGTGCAGCCGTCAAAGGACATTCAAATACGTAATGGTCTGGTGACCCTTCTGATCCACAGACACAGATATCTGTATTTGAGATGCCGTGGCGATTGTAATAGCTGGGAAACGGGCCGTGACCCGTGATGAATGAAGGTGAGAGGTGCTACGGCAAAGAGTCGATCGGTGGAAACTTTCGGGAGGTAGGTGAAATTCCGTCTGGCTGTATCGCATTCGGTCCACTCACGTTGCCATTGGTGCATTCCTTGCTCTCGTAGGAGGCCCTTTAGATAAGAGCAGGGCGCAGGTACGGTGATGGGTTGGGCTGTCGGGTTGGAAATTGCATCTTTGGCCAACGTGTCAGCAGCCTCGTTGCCCTCATTATTCGCATGGGCTTTAACCCAGACTAGATTGAGATGGTAATGAGGGTGTTGCATAAGGAAATGTTGGAGACTGAGTATGAGGGGTGAGACATGATGATGGTTCTCAAGTGCAAGTAAAGTTGAAAGGCTATCGGTATAGATATTTGCTCGTGGGATCTGGCAATCTATGAGATGTTGCACTGCTGCCGTAATTCCCAGTACTTCCGCCTGGAAGATGCTATTGTGAGCGCGAAGTTGTCCTTGCCAGTCGTGTACAGTTTTGCCATTCTCATAGTGCACAAAAGCACTGCCTACACCATTCTCCTGCTTTGAACCGTCTGTGTAGATCTGGGTTCCCATTCCGTGGTGCGTGTCGAGGTGTGAGTCTGTTTGCTTGTCAATTTTGATTGGGGTTCCACTTCCTCTGAGAGCTGGATGAGTATGGGTAGAAGTGGAGGGACGTTCGAACTGGACTGGACTGTAGCTGGTATTTGCGAAAGTTGCATCTTTGCGTAGGTGGATCAATTTAGTAAAAGTTGCCTCCATCTCTGCTTTTATATGAAGTGGTAATATGCCGGCTAGAACTGTTGCTGCACTGGTGGCGGTTGTGCGGTAGGCTTTGCTTAATTGCAGGGCAAAGGGGCGTTGTAAGTTGCCTGATCTTGCGAGTACCCATTGGCTGCGCCCAGATCACTGCAGCGTATAAAGCTATTTTTTCTACAACTGTGAGGTATAGCACTTTTTGGATATGGGGGTTTTGGCCCCAGTTGCGACCTTGAAATTGTCTTGCTATGCGGGCGATAATTGACGTCTTGTTTCTGGTTTCCATGATATGCGGAATCCAGGTGAGACCTTGGTCCCATACTACCCCTAAATACTTGAGATTCCGCACAATTTTGATGTTTCGGCCTAGGAGTTTTATGCATGGACGACGAGTTGGATTGGTGCCTCGTCTGGGAATTATTATTGCTGACGATTTTCCTATGGAGATCGTGAGCTTTAATTTGTTGCATGCGGTGGTAAATAAGGTGCAGGTCTCTGTGCTGTTGCGTTCCAGTTCTTTCCTAGTGCGTCCTTTTACGAGCAGGGCTACGTCGTCTGCATAAGCAATGATGTTTGTATGCTGTGGCCAGTTGGTTGACAAAGGTAGCAGCTGTTCCTGACAAAGGTAGCAGCTGTTCTGACAAAGGTAGCAGCTGTTCCACGGCTGGATATGGAGTCGAACAGATTTTGGCTAAAGTGCAGAATCGTCCACTTATTTGATCGGCGTTTGTTTGGCGCTTTTTACAAGAGTAAGAAGAATTGGATTTTTGTCAATTTTCTTTGACATTTTAAGTGAAAAAAGGTCAATGTGTACAAGGAGTGCGCAATGCCATTTTTGTGCAATTCTGGGATGTGTTTTTAAGTGAAAATAGGTCGATGTGTACATGGATACCGAGTATTTGCAATTCTTAAAAACGCGCCAAGCTGTAGGCGATTCTGCACTTTCCCCCAGATTTTGATTGACAATTCCGAGCCTTCCAGTCCAATGAAACTTAACTTGGCGGTCTGGTATTATGTTGCTGAAAGGTGGAGAGACAAAGGCTCCGGAGATATGGCACAGCTATAGACAATGAAAGCCTCAATAATGTAATTGTGGCATGTCAGAGTGCTGAAAATGGATTAGAAGTAAATGAAATCTGCAAGTTAGAATGCAATTTGTACTCCTTGGCACCACATATCATGAATCTAGGTGCTGAATGCAAAACGATAAAGAATGTAAACTTTCAAAATTTCTTCCTCTCTCTACATCCACAGATATATATTAACTGACTAAGATATATACTCGTACCTATCCCTGCAAATGAATGCAACAACTCGTTATCTGTTACCACATTAATAGGTGTGAAGCGCGGTTTATAAAGTCGTCGAAACTCTTTTTCCATCTTCATTTCATTTAACGTAATTGCGTGCTCATGCTCTCCATGAAACGTGCTCATACTTTGTACAGAATCTCCGAAAAAACTGAGAGCATTTTTCTTGATTTTTTTTTTTTTTTTTCTTTTTCCAAATTCGAAAAGCAAACAGTCCTTTTTATAGATTTAGGCTTTCTCACGCCTAAATCTAGAAAAGGAAACCAAATATACTTTTTATTATCTTATAAGGTATTTTTGCCCTCCTATACGCATGCCTTCGTGATATAATTGGAAGCATATCTTATGCGTATTCGAGAGGTCCAGGGTTCAAGTCCCAGCGAGGCACTGCACAAACGTTATTGACTTAAGAAATTTTCTAAACTACAAAGTAATAAATGCGAATTTATCCTGCACTTCGGAGGTACTGAAAATGTCTTAGAGTTTTTTTCTGTCTTTGGCTTCATTATCCGAAAAACTGTCGATGAGTTCTGCAATTACTTCGAAATTTTAACAGGAGCAATCAACTGCAGACACACGTGTTTTCATCTTGTAACAATGTATTTAAGTTGTAGAGTCATTAGGTTATTTTGAAGGAATAGACGTGAAAAATTGCAATGCCATCGTCGGGACTTAAACCCTGGACTCGAATACGCGTCGACTTTGCTTCCAATTACACCAAGAAGGTATGCGGAAAGGAAGGAGAAAATACCTCGCATACTCTCCTTTTTAAAGGGCGACTAGTGATGAGGGAACCCATTCGCCAAATACTGCTGATGACAAATTATACGTCCACCATCTTTTAGATCTTTTAGTTCGGGCGTCACTGTAAAGTCATTACAGTTTCCCTTCCGCATACCTTCTTTGTGCAATTAGAAGCAAAGTCGACGCGTATTCGAGTCCCGACGATGGCATTGCAATTTTTCACGTCTATTTCTTCAAAATAACCTAATGACTCTACAACTTAAATACATTGTTACAAGATGAAAATATGCGTGTCTGCAGTTGATTGCTCCTGTTAAAATTTCGAAGTAATTGCAGAACTCATCGACAGTTTTTCGGATAATGAAGCCAAAGACAGAAAAAGGCTCCAAGACATTTTCAGTACCTCCGAAGTGCAGGATAAATTCGCATTTATTACTTTGTACTTTAGAAACTTTCTTAAGCCAATAACGTTATTTTGGGTAGAAAGAAAAAAAGTTGCTGGTATCCTTGCAAGTCATAAACAATGTTTGCAATCATTTAAAATATGCTTTTGGTGTAACA